AATGCAGCATTCAGTTGGAGTTCTCCTCATTCACTCATTCCCCAGGGAGCCAATCTATTTCAGCGTGGGTTTCTCCCCGAGCTGCGTCTAAGCGAAAGCGAGAAGAATGGTTTCTCCATTTAAGATCGGTGGATGATGAATTCACGTGCCACTTGGGGTGGATGGATTTATTATCCATATGATGTCGAATGGAACAGAGTTGAGCCAGAAGTCGGCATAGAGGTAGGTCTGGTACTGAGAGATTGGTCGAGAGGAGTTGATTGGTCGAGTCAATATCACTTATTGTGATTTTTTTTTTAAGTGTTCGCTATTCCGAAAAATTCTCGGAAAGCATGGGAAATTGCGCACGAAGTGTGTCATAGTCACAGCTCAGGAATCGAATTTAAGCAAGGAGGAGTTTCGTCCCGAAATGTCTAATGGTAGAGCGCCGAGAGTCTTCAAGCGAGAACGAACGGCTGAACAGGCCGAAAAAGGCTCGAGAGGCATCGGTGATTTGGTGGATGCTCGCCTGCTTCGCGAGAGTCACCCCTCTCTCGGCTCTGGCAAGATACAATCTCCTCCTCTTCCAAGAAGAGAGAGCGTGGGAAGATCTCATTTCACTACGTCACGAGTTACGAAGCTAAAATTTACATCTTCAAAGTAAAACTTCACTCGATCCCCGTACGAGAGTTACCAATAAATACTTAATATATGATATCAAATATGCCCATACATGGGCTCTTTATTGGAAACATACGACTCAAATTTGTCCATATTTGTCCATATAATGTTTTGACCATATAAAGTTCCTTAACTCCTTCCAGCCAAGTTTGGCGCATATACAGTATAGTCAAATAATTGCATGTCCAAATACATCCTGTACATACGACTGTATTTGGTAGTTCCGTAAGGGTCGCCTCAAGGACTGTCACCCGACTAAGACTTAGCCACATTTCAAACGCTTCTTTACAGCTGGCGTACGTCACTCGTTATGAGGAATGATCCTCGCTAATGTTATCCTGTTTCTGCGTCTCAAAATGTCTACCGCCGCCAAGTTGAGCCAAGTACGTGGTATAATAGGTTCGATGCCTTTAAGTTTTAAGGACCTTCGATTGGTAAGCTAGGCGATTTTGCAATTTTGACTTGCGAAGGAGGGGGCCACCCTGTCAGGAATGCCAAATGATACCTAGGAAAATCCGTAGGCTCTTCACAGCAACCCCACAACCGTGTCCGTCCAAGTATGGTTTCTCCCCTTCATGGTTATTTCAGGATGTGCCTTACCCAATAATCAGCTTGAATGAGTCTCGTTCAGTTGATTTTCATCACCTGCAGAACCTGTAGCACCTAGTCCAGCAATGCTCTGGGAAAGGATCGCAAGAATGCTGAAAATTTCATTCCTTTGTGCAGTCCGTGAGATGAGATTCAGCCTTGCATATTGCCTCAGCCGACGGAGAATTGGAGGGCGGAGGTATCGCACAGGTATGCGTATCGGGTGTATGTGAGGAAGGGGAAGATGAGGAAATTCTTCCTTCTGGTTCCAGTCGAGGACGATTATTTCCTTGGTGGATCCCAGCTCCCGGCACGCGATCGCCGCCAGGCTTCACCATTTCAACCCCGTTCTTGAGACCGCGTTCTTCGCAGCAATCTCCGATCCAAAGATCGACGCATGCATAAAGCACGTATTCGGTTTTCTTCGACTCAACGACGACATCCACAAGATAAAGAATATCGGATTCCCCGAGTTAGTCGCAGAGAGAGCGAATTTTAAAATCCCTCCAAAAACTAGGCACGTCTCCTGGTAGGAGTCAGGTAGGGGCTTCCCAATTAGAAGGGATCTCGCATGGGAATCTCCTGCTTGAGCAACCCGTCATTAAGAACCATTTTCCTTCGCTTTCCCCTCGGGTTAAATTCCAACCCTTTGAGCCGTGGAATGCTCTTTCCACGCGGAATCAGTCTGGCATGCAGTGATATAGGAATTTTCCCGGGACCTCCATTGAAGAGTTTTAAGAGGGCCTCCAGGCCAGGGATGGGAAGCTCATGCTGTGATAGGCATTCCCCTTCCCTCCATCTCCATTCCACCTCATTCTTGATCAGAAGAAAGTGCCGGGAAGGAGGGGGAAGACAAAAGACAAAAGACGGAGGTGAAGGAAGATGAAAGAGGAAGTGCGAAGATGCAGTATGATGCCCCGAAGGGCTTTGGGGAAGTCAATGATGGGGCCGTGGTCAGGGTGTATTGGAAACTCGAGATCTATAGATCACCGAGGCGTTGGCATGGCGCCCCTCCCTCCGGCGGCTACCGAACTTTCTTTATAGATTCATTGAAGGCCACCGACTCAATATTCTGCCCTGCCCTCTTGAGGACATAGCTCACGTAGAGGCCCTCTCCGGCCCGGAGCATCTTCACCAAATGCGTCGAATTTTATGGTCAATCTTCTTCGTGATATTCCTCCCAGTTTCACACTTTTTGGTCTGAAAATTGGCAGAAGAGCGGGAAGCTACTCTGCCAACTTCTAGATTGCTAACTACTCCATCCTTCTTTTTCCACGTGTTTTTGCTTATGGGTACGTCTAGACTGCTTTGAAGCCAGGGGCTCATTAAGTCTTGTTTTATGGCATAGCTTGGGGAAACGGGGAAAGAATGCCGTCATTTTTCGGAGCGCCTCTGCAGTGGTCTCTATTGTGGGTGCACCTGTGATCATGGTTGGAATGTGGGGCATCTCAGATAGGGCGGAAGAACAAAGCACGGCAAGATCGACCCATACAGCTGGGCGAGGAAAGCCTGACTCTGTTCATTTTTCAGGCTACTGAAAAATGTGCAGAGAGGGGCCTATATCCCGATGGTAGCCCCTGGAGGGGGCAAGGAAGAGATGTGCTGGGGATGGGGATTAGAAATTTAAATGCCATAGCATGGTAAGCATTCCAGAGTTGATTAATGCTTCTACTACGCCCCCACTCCCGGCCAGAGAAGCATGAATTATGATACACGAACTCTATGGTTGTTGCCTGGGCCTTAAGGCCTCTCCGGTTCTTTCTTTTTTTTTTTGACCAATCACGCTTGGATGTCTACCGTTCAGGGGATATCTCCTTCATGGTTTACGAGGAATAAAAGGAAAAGGGAGGAACGGCTGCGGGCTATGGCATGCTTGAGGCTAATCAGGAGTCCGACGATAAAAGACGGCATTTCAGACTATATCCACCCTGCCACAACCTCTACTTTATGGGGCTCAATTTCCATACAATGCCGATATATGGGGAACCTCTCTCTTTCTCTCTCTTATTCCCTTCACTACAGGCATTCCAGGGCAGGATAGAGACAGAAGAGAGAAGCATTATCTCAGACAGCCTCTCACAAACAAGTGGAATCCCTCCGCATGTGAAATGAGAGCATCGTCGTGGAACGAATAACGATTTTTCGTGGCTTCGAACATGATTGGAAACGGACAAGGGACACGAAAGTGTGGACTATTGCTTTGGAATGCACATGGTATGCCATACGCATGATAGTTACCTAAATTTTGAAATCATGGTTTGGCATTTTCGTGAGCACCAGACACCAGAATCTGTAATACTATCAACAATAGATTCCGCCTTTACTTGCGTTGACTGCTTTAAAGCATTTAAAGCAAGGTTTCCGTCTTTTTCGTTCAAGTCCTGTCTGACTATACAGAATAGCTGAGATGCAGTCACTGGATTCATTTTCTTTATCACTCATTTCAGAATGAACTGCACTAAGTACAACTGAAACATCAAGGGCTTCTTCTGCAACTCCCACATTCATGATGTTCCTCAACGTGATCCTTGACTTTTTTTATTATCTTTTGACGTATTACGAAAACGTCTTCGACGGGAATTTTGAAATGTCTGAGAAATATTAGCGAACATAGTTATGAGTTATTATTTTAAAAATATCTGACGCTTCATTGGGTGACAGACCAACTGATTGGGGTACCTGAGAAGGATTCCCTTACCCTAATGAATTTTTTCACCACATGAGCAACAGAGGGGGTCTATTAATCAAAGCCCCTGGAACTTACAACCAGCTGAACAAAAAAACTGGGTTCACGTTGGGGAACGCTCTCAGAGAATATGCAGTAGTTGTGCGGCCGTGGTCAGATTTCCCATTACGTAGAAAATTTGCTAAGAAAAGCTCCTGATCTGCAGTGTTTCTCATCATCTGTCCAGCTAGAAGTACGCATCGCTTGTGTCAAAAAAGAGGCACGTAAATGTGATAGTAACTTCTCAACCACCCTTCAAATTCTCAAGGTTTTTCCGGCGTCAGTGTGGGATAAGTATTCACGTCCACTTGGAACTTCTATGCTCGTAATCCAGGAGGCCTTCCAGGAACGCACAGAAGCAAACAGGCTTCCGGAAATGTAAGCACTGCATTCTCGTTGACATTTCCATCGCACCCTGACCTTTCAGGAGATACATGATTCTAACAGATGATTCGATTCAGCGAAACGGACAGCGATAAAGCCATCAAATGCGCGTGGGAATGCTCTTCGAAAAACGTTTATCTCTTTCCCTTCCTTTTATCTCCCTTTTCCTTCTAAGAGACAGACGGTTCTGCAAGAACACCCAGCGGAACTTGCCTTCAACTGAATATATTAGCCTTTTCTGAGGGGAATGAGAAAGCGAGCCATCCTTTCTTCAGTGTTAATAAACGATAAATATGTAGAGGACCGCCAAGTAATTTGTGTTCCTAGCCCTAGTCACTTCAGAACCAAATTTCATCGTGAGCATTAGGGAGCTTCAAGTAGTTTCGCATCCACCTCCATGGTACAGCAAAAAAAAAGTATAGCATGCGCTACCCGAAAATCGCAAAGAAACTCTTGGGGAGGAAACGTTTGGGATCTAAGGTCCACTTCTGTAGGGCAAGCTGTGGAATGTGAAGGGCTCGAGTCAAGCGAAGGTTTATATTCCGGGCGACACTTTCCCAACCCTACCTTCATGGTTGTGCAGCAGACCGTAGCGTCTAATCGTTGCAGAAATATTATCGTGACCTCCCCCGGTTCCATTTCACTAAAAGAGGAGAAAGCCGAGTCTCGATATCAAGCGACTTTCTTTGCCTTAGACAAGAGCATATAAGGTCATCCAATAACTTAGCAGGGAAATCAGTATCACAATCACGACTTTATGAGATTTTCTATGGAGAAGGAGCTGGAAGATGATGAGAAGCGTCGTTCGTCTCGACAGGGATCACGATTATCATTGTCATCACGGACGAGACGGTCATGACCGTCATTGTCGTTGTCATTATCATGGTCATGGTCATTGTGATCATCATCGTCAACGTCGACCACGATGTCCTCATCGTCCGCATCATCCGCGGAATGGGCTGGCAGAGGTGGAGGGACATGACCTTGACCTTGACCTTGATCACCCGAGGACCTGCCCCCACCGTGGAGGCTGTGGGTCAAGCTGTGGCGGCGAAGATCACAGTTCCGGCGGAACACTTTCCCACATTGGGAACAGGAATAAGGTTTGATGTCTGTATGGGTGAGGAGATGGGTCTTGAGGTTGGAGCGCTGATTGAAGCTCCGTCCGCAAGTGGGGCATTTGTGGGGACTGTCATCCATGTGTAGGATCTTGTGGACTGCCAACGTCCTACTCTGGCAGAACCCTTTCCCACATTCTCCGCATTTGAACGGCTTCTCCTTTGAGTGAATGTACCTAAGGAATGGGAAGAAGCAAAATTGACCATATCCTTTTCATCCACTTGCCGTTCCACGTTCTCTCGTTCATTTTACACGCGGGGTTGAGGGCATGACATAAATGTGCGCCGTTTACGTCTTCACTAGAGATAGGCGAATCCCGAATTGAGATTCCTCTCAAATCAGATCTAAATCCCATAGAGGTGTAATTCCAATTCCTGATTAATTCATGGGGAGTGACTGAAACCATCGTTGAATTTCTAGAGAGTGATTAGGATTCAGATTAAATTCAGCTTTCCCCGAAAAGATCCCAGCAGATTCGCATCAGATCTACAGGCTTTCAAATCATTTCTTGCTTCATCATGGAGCGTGAACCGACTTGGTTGTTTTCTATCTGTTTTTAAATTATCATATCGGCTATGGAAGATCACTGACGCAAAATCCTACTTCAGCGACTCACTTCTGATGTAGTACTCAGGATTCTATTCGAAGATTCAAATCTGATCTTGAAGATCGGGATTCGAAGACGCTTCGAACGATCAAAAATTGAGACATGACTCTTAAATTCGACAGTTTGATTTTTGACAAGAAACATTTCCAACACAGGAACTACCCAGAGTGCCTCCGCGTTCTCGATAACGATGTTGTCTCGCGCGGTAAAGCCGATTTGAAATTCAGTGCAGACCTGCCGAGAAGGGAAAAGGAACGGTTCCTCCTCCTCACCTGTGATCTCGGAGATGATCTTGTCTCCGAAACGCCTTCCCACAAATGTCACAGGAATAAGGCCGCTCATCCGTGTGAGTTCTTTCGTGGATGAGGAGATTGTAGGACTTGGTGAACTGGCGCTGGCAGAATTTGCAGATGAATTGCTTCTTGGGCCTCGACGATCGTCGAGTGCTTTGAAGAAGTCGACGTTGGTAATTGACGGGGAGCAGGAGAGACTCTTGACTCATCAGAAGAGGTCCCATTAAATCTCCTGCTCTGATCGTCCCATTGTATGAGTCCTACAATAAAATATTTTGGTGACTTCCTCCGGAAACATTTAGAGTTGGAATAAAAATTTAAATGAATATAATACGTCTGATTTAAAGGGATGGGGGGGGGGAGAGAGAGAGTATGGGGGAGGAATACTTAAGAAAAAGAGAAAGGAGGAAAGAGGGAAAGTATCGAATCCCTCCAACTCTTTATACTGCGCTTTTGTGCCGTGTTTCAGAGGACTATTGTTCATGGTTGTCATTTATTGTAAAGACACTATGGAATCATGAATACTCGGTTTGCAACACTCCACTTGTTGTGATTTAGTCGAAGCTATAAAGTAGACCCATTATTCAAGCAAGAACTTTCAGAGTCTTTCGATTTAAGCGCAGGAGAAAAATGAAATCAGACCTGAACACAAGGGTCATGAGGATCATCGTCGGGTTCCGGCTGAGAAGGTGCCGTAGCACTTTCAGCCAATTTGGCAAAATCGAAGCGTCGGTTCTTCTCCTTTCTCACGGGATGACTTGGTGTACCTGGCGTTGGAGCATTTTGAGCCAAAGCCTGCAATGCCAGGTATGACGTAAGGCTTTGACCGCGGGCACTGGGAACGACTGGTGTGAAGGCTGAAGGTTTTGATCTCCCTCCTCCTTCTTCTGCTCCTGATTCCTGTACGGCACAGTTTGATGTTATCCTTAATTGTCATGTGAGTCCTGGATACATATCACAGGGGGAAATATTACTGACTTGATTGTGTGGGGCGAGATCCAACTGCTGAAGACGGGCGGAACTGTGCAAGAACTTGGTCTTGTCCGCAGTCGTGTGAGTGACGAGATCCGTGGCAAGGGACATCCTCACACCAACCTGGGGGAAGAAATCATTACCATGATTTTCAATTTCATGAAAGGTGGGAATGCATGCATGGTCTCTATTCTCCAGCCTTGGATGTGGCTCTTCTGTTCGAGAGGAACAAGGTCTGCGAGATGCATTATTCAAGGACGGGAACAGGTTCTCTTCAGACTGGCCATCTTGATAAAACGACGACGTCTCCTCTGTCTCTCTTTCAACTGGGATACATCATCGTCATCATCATCAAAGCCTCCCATTCAGGATAGACACATCACGGAGTCTTTTAACTGGGAGGTTCCACTCGAATGCTCTAAAATGTCAGGGTAGTCGATTTTGGAGGAAGGCGTGGTGGGGTTTCTATGAAGCCAATTAGGCTACCTCCACGGGCTAATGATAGGGCCTGTCACTGGGCTTGGCGTAGGCGGACACCTGCTCTCGGCTACACGGGCCTCCTGCCTTCCTTCTCTTCCCAAGGCTATCTCAAGCCCCCCTTGCATCTTTCTCGCTGCATTTGTACCGTAAGCTTCCTTGTTTGCATCTCCGTCAGGAAGCTTCCGAAGGTATTTGCATACGGTCGAATATCGCATCCAATTGGTTTAGTAAAAATTCTATAGAATGAGATAGCTAAGGCCATTGGAGAAGAAGGAAATTGAGAAAAGCACTCATCGAAGAAATAGTTAAAGGGGGAATGCTAGCATTATAGTTATTTTGTGATAGTACCAATAATTTATCACGATAAAACTTAAAATGTATTAGTTGATCGTTCACCAGTAGAAGTGTAACGATGGGGCCACAATGGACGTCTTCATTCGTATTTCATTAACTTTAGGAGACAGAACGACAAGCACTCCGTTTCCAGAATCTTCTTAGAAATCGGAAGAAACTACAAAAACACCGTACTGTATAGACCGGCCTGAATTAAAGTTCTCTCTCCTCCCTTTGTTTAGTATTTATTCTTGGACTGCAGTCGAATTACGGAAGGAGGAATCTTGATTACCCTGGGCACAGCCTTGCCATTGTCCGAAAAGAGCCTAAGAGGTGGGTTAGGAATTTAATATTCTGGCCAGAACTATATGCACCGGAACTGTTCATGATCCATTGCACAATCACATGGGAAGTTTATTGAAGCCGTCGAGGAGCCATGAAGAATAACAGACAAAGCTGGGGGCAGATGGATTGACAGTTCGAGGTCTGGGTATCAGTGGCATAGTGTATCCTTTTTCGAGATCCTCATCTCACAGTCAGGAAAGAGATGGAAGAAAAGAGCTTAAATATACTGACCAACTTGCATGGACGAGGACGCGTGATCCCTCACGAGTTGAGTGACACTGAGTGCACTGAATGGAGCATTATGCCTATGTAGTGAGTCGTTCTCGTATGGTAGAAGTCCCGGGAGCCAGCTGAGGAGAGTGGGAAGCTGGGTCGGGCAGCGCCAAGCTACTGGAGAAAGACCAGCCTCCCCGCTCTCTCTTCTCTCTCTCTCTCTCTCTCTCCTCTTTCTCTGGCTGGCAGCTCCTGTGGAATGGATTGCTATCTCATGTTATGTCCATGCTGGCAACATTTAGAAGCCTCTTCGGGTCTCACCACTCCGTCACTCGACGTTCAGTCACTGCTGTCCTATTCATATGTCGGCCTGATGAAGATGGGCTTTGTCTCGTGCCATTGCCTCTCTTTTCCTGCCTCGTTTTTCTATAAGGAGAGTGCAAGGACTTAATATCACAGGGAGGGAAAACCAAAGGGAATGGTGATGAGAAAGGTCGAGGGGTTGACAGGATAATGGCCAGGATTATGAACCAAGACCTCGTATCCCGGTTGTCTAAGTATCATCCCGTGCACGTGCCAGGTGAACCGTGTCCGCGAAGGGCTCTAGGTAGGAGCAAGCTTCTGTGTAGCCCAGGGCAGAGCCCGGTTTTTTAATGGGCGGAGGAATGCACGGAAATCATAGCTATAATAGCCGGCCAGCTCAGATGTGATCGGAATGCACAATGAGATGGCGCCACCTCAGAGACATCTCTCCTCGACCAGGCTCACTACGACACGGATCTGTCGCATTCCGCCGAGAGACAAGGTGGGGAAAAAAGATACGAGTGTGTATAAAACACACATGTGTATGGAGATAAATGGAAGGATTGTATGCTGCAGACAAGAGATCCAAAACTCAATAGAGAAGACCTTTCCTCTCTAGCCAACGGAGCGGATCGGCATTGTCTTCTCCACAATCTGTCTTGCCAAACATACCAGAACTTCCAGGTAGCCTCCGGGACTTGGCAAAAAGATTTGACGCAGAGGAGCATGAGCAGGAGGTTCGAGAAGACGTTGCATTCGATGCCTCGCAGTCCTAAGAGACCATGTGTTGTGAAGGCAAGAGGAAGAGCAATGGAATCTGCGGCTTCTGGTAACTTCCTCATACACGAGTGCGTGGTATGTCAAAACAGACCGAATGATAAATGATCCCCAAGGCCCTTTATCACGAGCATACAATCAATATGAGTCTTGAGGTTTCATTTGGGATGAAAGGGAATGCAAGCGCATCGACTACAAAACACCTTGTACCTACAGGTGCACGTGCGGTTCTCCTTATGGAATAGTTGAACAGTGAAAAGGGGATCTGAAGATAATTAGGTGTAATGAAAACAAGTGTTGCATAACAAAACCAGGGAAAACATCCATAAATGCAACCTTGGCCTATGTATGATCCAACGCGTGCAAACAGCTGCTGTCCTTTCAGCCAGGGTTGTGGAAGAAATGGCTTTCTGTCACGTTACTGCTACGTTCTTTTACCGATTTGTTTGAAATGCTTTGGTTGCATGCGACCGCGCGGAAAAGATTGTTACTGTAATAATAGTACTCGGAGTAACTTTAAGTGCGGTTAAGTATAACTACTACCTTATCTATTAAAATTGAGCCTCGTAACTCTCTGTTCTCGGGTCTGGCAATTGTTACTGGCTATTGTTACTGGCAAACTAATTGCCAGTAACAATTGCGTTCCATTACGGTGGATTTATTTCTTAATTTGCGTTACACTGGACGATTCAAGTGAAAAAAAACTCCTTTAATCGCTTGGAATTTTTTTATTATGAATTAATTGGAATTAATTTTGCATTATTATCACCAGGAAAGCACAAACATTTACTTTATAGCCCTAGTCCCTGTATCCCAAAGAATGCGAAGCGGAATGCGTCAATTAACAAGAGAAATAGTCATGCCATCTGCATGCCATAGACAATGCGAGCGTTGCTCGAGATGCCCTCTGCACAAGTGAGACAGTAGCATCGTCTTCTTTTATTCGTTCTGTGTGATCCCTTTTTTTTTTATTCTGCTGAGCGTCACGTAGCAGTTGTCCTTGGAAGGTGTCTGGAATGCCTGGGCTGTTTTCCGAGTCGGAGCTTGAATGTTTCCCTCTCAACTCCGGAGCAGGTTTCGCAGGGCTTTGAAACATTTCATCAGCTGTGAGTACTTCTCGTGGACTACTGGAACTTCTCTCAAATTAGGTCACTAGAGGCCACCTGCAGGCAAATGTCCCTTGAGAATTTTTTGAATGAAAAGACGCGTGCAACGCATCAGTGAATCTCAATGGCCAGGGTCATGGCTTAGGGACTCAGGAACCCGGTAGTCGACAGAGTTGCCAGATCCCCGAGGCAGTACATTGAACTTTTTTTTTCAATTCCTAACCTTTTTCTTAACCCCTTAAGTGGGTATGATGTATATATCCGTCATGGTGAAACGCTCCTCAGATGGATTTGACATTGTTTATGCCTTGCTATATTTTCGAGTTTCAGTCCATTAACTCGAAACTCGAAATAGTATAGATTCGAAGAAGAGAAATAAATTGACTCTACAAACACTAATTATTACTCTCAGGAAATAACATTCTGACTCCGATGGTAGACTTCTGTTTGAGAAATTCCCCACTTAAGGAGTTAAAAAGGTTAGGAATTATTAAAAACTTCAAAATTGCATAACAAGTAATTACAAATGGAGCATTTGGCAAAATGGAGCTACAATAAAATACAAGTTGGCGATTAACCATATATTTTTCCAACCTTTGTCCCATTTCTGTACAGAATTGTAAGTCACCTATGTCGCCACTTTGGCGATCGAGCGCTATTTGCCTATCGCGAGCCCATCACTGCCTTTCATGCCAAAACGATGTCAAACTAGATGTAAAGTCCCACGCTCCACTCTGAGAAGACCCGAACAGGCGGAAAATGCTGCATTGAGCAACACTTCCCAGCAGTGGCTCACTCTATGACTTAACAGAGGTGGAGGGCGATCGGGCTTCCTCTTCTCTTCTGCAGGGGCCGCTATGGGCTTTATCGCCCCTGGCAGACGGCATTATCTCTTGAGTTTTTTCATAGCACACTCTGAGCTTCTTACACAAATAGAATTGATTAGTTTAATCAACGAGTCTAAAAATGCTTATCTCAGAAACAGATGTTATAGCCGATATTTGGCTTTCCTCTTCAAAAATGGGATCAAGGACAAGAAACTCCGACCCTTGTCGGAACTTGCTCCACGTACGAGTGAAACTCTAGATTCGGAATGGCACGTCGTTGTGATAAAACAATCCAGGCACAACACCGATCCAGCCAGACCAGCTACACGAGGAATAAACCGATCAGATCCGGATAAGCAATGCCAATCGAACACGTCTTGTCGCTTTTGTCGCTCAGGCCGAAACTAGGTATCTATACTTGCGTGATCCAGTCAGGAAGTGACGTCTCAGTGGTCTGACGAGTCTGGGCGGTAACCTAAGGCGTTTTAAATGTGCTACCGTGCTGTTGCTCTGTTCGTTTTGTTTCATCATTAAGTTAACCATGAAGTTAACAAACTGTATGACCCAGAAACGAGCCATATAGAAAATTTATTGAAACCAATTGTAAGTAAGACAAACCTAGAAAATCAGGTGGATATCATTATTGGAAATAATATTTTCTCGACAAAAATTAACATTCTGTGGACTTCCATTGTGCAAAATCGATATGAGAACTGCCCAAACCAGAACGTTTCGACTATTAACCTCTGAACAAAATTCCGTGATTTGGGTGGTTCTTCTCCCGCAGAAAGACTGATCTCCTGTGCACGCTTGTAGTCAGGTTTCTCATCTCCTCAAATGCTCCACGTTAAGAAATAGCTTCTGAAAGTCATACTTCTAAAATAATTCAAATATTTTTGGAAG